ACATAAGCAGATGTAGAGATGGGATGGACAAGTACTGAAAGCTGCTTTTTCTAGCTTTAAGTCTGATAAGATGAAGCTCCTGTATTGGGGAGTGCTGCTATAATCTGTGGCTGGAAATCACACTTTGATTGAAATCCTAATTTTGCAAATGTTATGTTGTATTGTTAGGTAAAGTTCTGATGGAGAGCAGTATAAGATCTTGTGTTGAAATACTATTTTGTTATGTAGAAAAAAAGGGGTTTTATATCCCTCAAAGAAATATATAAAAAAACATACTGTCTGGGTATTGGTGCTGAAACTCAAGTACTTTAATAGCACCAGTATCAAACGGTAAAGAGATTAAATGTGACATGTGATGTGTAAACTAACATACATAATGAAAACATGCTTTTGTTGCATGAATGCAATTGTTACTGTGTGTGCACTCGATCAACACAGGGTGGCAGTGTAAGACTTGGTGGTGCACTGAACGCAGCCCATACTGGCTTAAATGAAATGAAATCAATAATACTTACTATTAATAATAAACGTTTTATATGGATTACAACTGATGAAGCATTTGATGCCATAATCAGTTTTGTCTCTGGCAAGTGTATTACAATGGCATACCATACTTTAAAAGACATTCTGAATACTTTATTAGATGATAACAGTCTTGTTGATGTATTAACTTGCAGCTGTACTGGCCACCACTATGGAGAGGACGTATGAAAGGAATCTTCCAGTTAGCTCTCTAACTGTGTCACGGGTAAGCTTTATACATTTATTTATAATTGATGCAGTAGGGACAAAGTTTTTAACATGTATTTATATTTTCTGTTTGTGTTTCAGTTTGTTGACAATGTTTCATCTCAAGAGGAAGTTGATCAGGCGGAGTACTACCTTTACAAGTAAGAGGAATCATTTTACTCTTTCTGCATCTTCATTTCTGTGTCAGATTTCTGCTGTTTCCTTGGTTTTGTGTGGTACCAACATTTGTGCTTTTCTTGGAATGAATTGTCTGTTTGGTTTGTCTGTTTTGGTTTATGTTCAGTCACATGCTTTTCTTTGTTCGGGGCAACTCCAGACCTTTCCTGTTTACTCCTTCCTCTGGAATCTGCACTCATTCTTGTGATTACACGATTGAGTATATTTCCCAATGACACTCTTGTTCATCATTTTCATCCTCGAGTGAGAACTAAATAACTACCTTTCCACTTTGGGAAGTTTGTAAATAGCAATTATTATTGTTAATACAGTCGACCGTTGATGATGTGTTTGGACTTTGCAGGATGAAGATGTCAAATTTACGATTTGCTCCTCTGGTTCTTCCTCATATCTCTGCTATCTTCTGTTATGGATTTATTGAAAAATGAAAAACTTCATATGTTTTATTTTCTTGTTTTTTTTTTGTTTTTTTTAAATCCCTCCAGGTTTCGTCATAGTGCAAACGGTTGGTACCTGAGAGACTGGACCATTCACAGCTGGGTCAGACAGTGTCTAAAATATGGGCTCAGGGAGAAGGCCCTGCACACACTTAAAAACAAGGTACACAACACATTATATGCCCTCCATTTATTCTCAAGCCAGGGCCACACTGCCTGTGTCTGCAGCATGTGTGCATCATCTAGCTTTTTATTTCTGCACCCATGTTAACTGGTTAGAGTAACCACCCTGCCCGCATGAGCCGTATATCTCACATGTGGTTGAAGCAAGGCTTCATCTATTTCTTCTGCCAGCCGTAAGCGGTTCCCAGCAAGAATAAGCAGTGACAAAGATCTGTTCATAGTCACATCGACATTATAACAGCAGCATAATACAGTTTCAATGTCTGTATCTGTAGAATATGTCACAGACTGAACATCTGTACCTGTTTCAGATTAAAAGCTCTCTCATGTTTCTGTGGACAGAATCCAGTGATCTGTTAACAATGCTTTAATTGCATTGTATTTATTCATGTAGAAAGATAGGGCTGGCAGCAGCAGAGTCGCAGCATAGATGTGTGTGGACACCACAGGTGTGCGAGCCGCAGCAGTTCAGCGAGGCAGCTGTCACACACTGCTCACGCGTGCTATGTGGCCAAGGGGGTTACTTATTCTTATATCGTCTTGCTGAGCATAGGCTCAAAATTAGAAGACTCTTTGGTCAACATAAGGGAAGCACATCTTTGTAATTAGACAGGAAATCTGATCAGAGGCCCCTGATCAGGGTTGATAGCTGCAGTTGTCTGGCAGTGTGAGCGATCACAGAGCCAATCTTAACCACCCAGATGCATTTTCAAACTGATCTGAGCAGCACAAATAATGTCAAACATGTTTGACATTTATAGCCCAGCATGTGTGTACTGTTCCAGAGTGAGTTGTAGTATCAGGGAATCAATGTATTACTCCAAAAGCAGAGGTGTCTGCGAGCCAATGACGTGTTTACAGTGAGGTAAAACGCAGCATGCTCCGTCAGTATCTGTTGTTATGATTTGGTGTCATGTTGCTGCGAGATTAAAGGTCTCGATGTCAGAGGAATCAGCGGTTGTATTATCGTGTACACCATCTTTACCAAATCATGTAGGATAAACAGTCAGTGTTTGCGGATAAATTATGTAAAAAAAATCATGCTATACATGTGATGCAAATCTGATCAAAGTGTGTGTGTGTGTGTGCGTACGAGATGCAGAAAGATGGTTAAGTGAGCACAGCTGTACTCTCCAGTTTGCTGATACCGTAGCTTTCCCCTCTTGATTGAATCTGACGCTGACAGGCTGTAGCACTCACATGGATACTGTTTTCTCCAGCTCCCTCTGCCCATCCTGTCAGTGCACAAGTGTATATTTTTACATTCATAGCGTCCCACCTGAAGTGGTAAGTAAGTAAAACTTTATTTATATAGCACCTTTTAGA